TATAATTTCAGTGTGAAGTAACAAAAATAATATAACATATTACAGATGCAGAGTTTGTTTGTGTTTATTTGCTTGGACGCGCTAATCTCAGGAACTACTAATCCGATTTGAAAAATTCTTTTTGAATTAGATAGCCCGTTTATTGATAAAGGCTATAGGCTATATATCGTCATGCTTCTACCCAAGGGAGCGCAGCAGTAATATAATAGTATAGTTTATCTATTCTGTACTAACCGTTAAAACATACCTAGGAAGAATCTGAGCAAAGCGAGGGTGAGCTGCTAGTATCTATATAAATGTAATCGTGGTTTTAGTTGATAATAAAAACACTTTCAATAAATAATATAAATTCATTTGTATTTCTAAAAATCAGTCAAGTGAAAGCCAATTCACTTGGTCAGTTTATGTTATTTGTCGTTTTATTTCTTATGGTACAAAATATAAGGCCCTTTGAATCATTATAGTCTATACACATACTAACTCACAGAACATATAACTCGCACACGCAAACATGTCAAGAACAATATCACCACGTCCTGTCTACTTGTCACAGAGCAATCTATCATTACGTTCAGTAATCATTATATCTTCATTGTCAATTAAATAAATCATTGTAACGTCATTCACGTATAACGCTACTTATATTTTTTACTAGCGGGTGCCCGCGGTTACTAGTTTTTACCTGCGGCTTCGCTCGTGTGGTAAGTGGTATAAAATGTAGAGGTATCAAAGGTTAAACCTAAGTTATTAGGTCCACTCCCAGGATGCAATTTATGTCCTTGCCAAATTTTATCGAAGTCTGTTCAGCAGCTTAAGTGTGCAAAATTAGTATGGAATGCTAAGCTCCCGTTTAAAGCTTAAATTAAATTAAGATCACGTTTTTAATAGTCAAATCCTGGTAGTGGATAGTTACAACACAATTTTTCAAATCGTGTTGGTAGTTACTAGTCCCGTGTTACCCTAATGTAGGAAGCCCAGGGCGGCACTCGATATGCTGCAAGGGGCGGGTGCAAGCGTTTTCGAAAGTTTATAAAATGTCACTAGGTATATTGTAATAAAATTTGTCAATGAAACTATTCTTGTAATAAAGCATTAATAAAGCCAAATCTGTACATAACATTTTTTGAAGTAAAAATTTTAGCCGCGTTGAGTGATTTTCGGTAGGGCAAAACTTACGGGTTCGCGTCACTGACATGCTACGTGTGACATGTGACGTGTTGACGCAGTCTGGCAGACTGGCGCGCCGCGTCTTGTTTTGATTAATAAATGAACTATATCAAAATGTAAATAATTATCGCTCGGTGGGCCAATAGATGTGAAAACCAGACTAATAATAATTTCAATTTACAAATTATAAAATTTTAACTATACATACTACAATTAATTTAAAAATTAAAAAAAACAGTTATATCAAAGTTATAAGCTTTCACTTCTGTCGGCAGTCCCCATGACTACCTATTTTAATTTTTTTAAACAATGATTGCTACTGTGTACAGGATATACGAGTACATATGACATGATGCCAAGTTTTTGTACCTGTGCGTGTGCAGACAGATTTAAAATACGCCATTGGTAGTCATACAAGTATAGCAAAAAACAAGCTCTTCAGCTTTATTTATTACTATAAATAAAAAGCGACTAGCGTTTGCCTTGTGGTCTCACTAAGTTTTCAGTTTTATTAACCGACTTCCAAAAAGGAGGAGGTTTTCAATTCGTCGGATTGTTTTTTTTTAATGTATACGAAAATATTTAAGAAGAAAACTTGTTATAAAATGGAGATATACAGATATAGTTTTAATCATAATCGCTCCAAACTGAATAATTAATATTTATATTAGTCCTGTCCTTTAAAATTATAAACTGAATTTTTCTCCAGAGACCCTGGCCATGAAAGCAATTCTATTTTGTTTAAAATTATATGTAGAAGTGTTAGGTAAAATTGTAATAGATTTTTTTTTGGTTCACATTTCATTAATGTGCAAGAGTCCAATATAAATTATTTATGGTCGCACTCCTCCAAAACTGCTCGACCGATTTTAATGATTTTTTTTTTGTATATTTGGTAGGTATGAAAACAGCTCTTAAAGTATTTTTACACCCTCACCCTCCAACCCTTACCCGCTGTTTAATCGCGATTTCAGTATTTTTGTATGAACAATCTATACTAATATTATAAAGAGGAAAAGTTTGTGAGTTTACAACGTCACAAACTCACAATGAGTTTGTGACGTTGTAGTGGGTAATCTCTGGATCTACAGAACCGATTTAGATGAAATTTGATAAGAAGATAGTTTTGAGATCCTGTGTAGGATACAGGATACCTTTTATCCCGGAAATCATCTCTTAAGGGGGTGAAAATGGGGATGAAAGTTTGTATGAGGAATCAAGCTAGGGAAGTTTGTCGCTAGTATTATATAAATACATAGTATTGTGTAACATAAAGCCAAAGAGTTTTTTCTTTGTAGGTTGAACGCGGGCGTAGCCGCGGGTTCTGCTAGTATACATATACATATGTAAGTGTCAGATAGCCTATCGCAATGTTGTGCTATGAACAAATGGGCATCTATTTAGTTGAATCGGTTACAAAGCGACTAATAAAATAAGAAAAACACATAATTTAATTACTTTGTCCTGTTAATATTACACAAAACAAGAACTACGCTACAAAATATTATAAATACGGAGACTAGCTATAAATATTAGTTACCATTATGATAAGTCGATTTCCTTAGAAGTCTGGATGTTCTTGAGTTTGAACTACAATCCAGATATTAATTGTACCGTAGGTATAACTGTCAATGTTAAATTAGAACTGTTTGAAGTCACCGCAGACAAGACTATTGTATTGTAGATTACACAGATATGTACATGTACGTACAAAGAGCTGAGAAAATGTAATTGAAGGTAACTCAGTTAACTATAGTCATGTTAACTTGATTACTGGGGCCATACATTCGAAAGCAAAAACATTTAAAGTATCTTGACCCCCTCCTATTTTCAAAGCAATTTTTTAATTAATTTTTAAATTGTTTAAAGAAGATTTTTAATTAAGTAAATTTAATGACACGTTTTGATTTCTTATTTCCCAAATCGTATCGTCATAGATGCTATTGCTCTGTACGGGACTCGAACTTGCTCTATTACATAAAGATTAAATAAGCAATCACATTAACACTGTACCAGACATAATAGTTAAAAATATTATGTATATCTAATACTATACACATATTTAACGAAGACGCCAGTAAAGGGTAATCTAAGCGTCGATCTCTACATGACGAAACAGACTTCTTTGAATTTAAGCCTCTCTCAATACAAAGTGTATCTTGTCTGGTCATAGTCGCTTAAAATAGAATTATTCTAAATGTCTTACAATCGTCTTGTTATCGTGAGTGCGATCTTATTCATTTACTCGCTGCATTGCGTTATACGCTGTGACACGTGAGCGCGTTGATGTCTAATACACGTAATGGTACTGTCACTTACAAATGTTGCAATTATGGGTAATCTTGCTAAGATATTGTTTCTTAAATATATTCTATATATCTATAGTATTGATTTTTATTTGATTTTATAATTAAAATATATAAAAAAACGTAATCCGGTAAAGCTCGAAGCCAATTCTTCAATTTGCTATACTTGGGAATGCTTTTCCATTAGTCATGCATAGCATAGCTTTTACATATATTTTTTGTAACTATTGGTAGTAAATAAGTGAGTGTATTCATTAGTGTCGTTTAAAGAATATTATTTACTTGTATAATTAAAGTATATGTAGGTTCGCCTTAACTATTTTAACTACTATTTCACGAGTATCCTCTGATTTGTTTTACTGATATTGTATTAATTATACAAAAGAAGAAATGTCGCTGTATTGCTGGGGTTTCCTAGCGGCATGTGCCTTCTTCTATGCAATGCCCTTGGAAATCCCAAACGTGCTGGCGACACTTACAACTGTGCAAAATAGAGAAGAAATCTAAATTTATTATTATTTATCATTACATTTGTATTGTTTTAAATCAACGTCCTTTTATCAATTGTAAAATATATTAAAAATTGATTATTTTCCTACATTTTTCCTATAATTATAAGTGTAACTATGTAATGTATTCTTACAGATTATAAGTATAAAATGATATTTAGTTAAACGCTTCCATTATTAAATAGATTTTTCACTTTTGAATTCTGGTACTGTCTAAACGTTTCAAACTCTTCTTATAATTCGTACATTATGTCATATATGTAAGCAAGACTATACGTTACGTTCAAGTTACCTTATGGGTAAGAAATGTTGTTCGTTCCTAATTTTTCGCTTCGTTTTCGTTGATTTTGTTGCTGTTATTTTGTGATAATATTTTTTATATACATACTCATAGGCTATTCACCGTAATTAGCTACTTGAAACGCTGTAAAAATAAGCATACTGTGTTTATGAGTTGTAAATTGAGTTGTGAGCAATTTATGTATTAAATAGCTGTATTTAAAATTATTTCGACTGTTCATAAATATATGATTTATAAGTTTTATATGTAAACAGATTATAAAAAAAATGCAAAAAATTATTTAAATTTCCAAAGTTTTTTTTATTAATAATTTTATATTTATTTGTCTATATTTACTTTAAGATTTATTTATTTACTGTGAAGATAGAGACTATTTATTATAAGTATTTATATTAGTTACTAGAAAATTGTAAACCTTGGAAATACTACCGTTAACCATTATAATTGATGACTAATTTTCAACCTTCATTTTTTTCTTTTGAAAGAATCAATCAATTTTTCATTTAATGTAAATAAAGGCTGGAATTGGTCTATATTACGAATTTGGCAGTCTCGTGTTTCCACAACGATTTTATTTAACTTCTTTATTTTGTCTGCACGTTTTTGCTACATGTTTTTTATTTGTCTTAGTTTACGACAAAAATAACAACTATTGATTTATATCATAATATATTATAAAATAAAACAAAAAGGTATATTAAACATCAATATAATTTAATCCCAACCACAACTTTCTCTGAAAACTGCCACACAAGTGGATTTGCTGTCACTCTCAAATCTATCAATCATTTTGTCCTTGTCTGTCCTATTATCTATTACTTCTTTCTTGCTCCCACTGTTTTTACTACGACCGTTTGATTTTGAAATAACAGTTGGTCGCGAATCCTCATTAGACTTCGTAAGAACTGTTTTCTTCGCCGGCGGTTCGAAATCGTCAACCTGAACGTAAAAAATAGATAACAGAAAACTTTTATATGACGAAAGCATATCAGAATAATCAAAATCACCATTTCCCACAGTTTTTTCTATTTATTTATACCAAACAATCTCCTTCGTGTCTTCTCCATTCTAAGTAACATTGGCAAAGTAATCTGTGCTCAACTGCCACGCTTTAAAACGTTCGCGCGTATTACCAAGAAAATTGAATTGAATTCCTAGTCAATAAAATGTCATAAAGCAAAATAAAATGGCAGGCAGTGTAGCTCTATGGTAGCTGAGTGATAATGTGCTTGCATAAAAACGTTAAAGAAGCGGATTCAAATCCTGGAATAACGAGAAAACTAAGAGAAAGAATCCTGAAGAATTAGTAAAATTAAAAAAAGGACGAGGAGAAACACTTCCCTATTCCGGTTCCATCATTTTCTTTCTATAGTGACAATAAATTCTAGACTGCCAAATCCAATAACTCTATTGACTTCACCCAGGACTCGAACCCAGGTACTCATGATTTATGGCCGTACATGCCACAGACTCACGAGGTATATAAAATATTCTAGTTGGAACACACCTGGAACTCGCCAGACGTAGTTCGCTGCAATGCTGGTGGAACTAACGAAACACTATTCGACCGCCCTCGCTTCTTCTTCGACGACCAGCCCTCATTAGATTCACTTACAGTACCTATTATTTAATAAAACAGTTTCATTATATGATTAGATTCAATTCAAAAATAGGTCCCAAATATATTAATAATTACAATGGCCTCATGAATAACTGATGTTCTCCTGACCAATTCCGGCCACGGCGGCCAATCTCATTGAGACTAGCCAACTGCGCAGGAGATATTATAGTGCACAAGTGTATGCGCAGACACAGGTGCACTCGACACGACCGGTGAGAATTAGACGCAGGACCGACGGCTTTACGTGCTCTCCGAGGCACGGGGATGAAACACCGCCAACTTCCCAACTCCGGCCGGTTACTGAGGCTTACTATACAGAAAGACTCAATAACTAAACTTGGCCCGACCCGGGACTCGAACCCAGGGTTTCCGGGTATGCAGCCGTACATGTTAGCCACTACACCACCGAGGCAGTGAGGCATGAATAACTACTGGTGGTTTAGCAAAACATTAGTACATTTGGTCTACAATAATCATTAAATATTTGATTCTGAAGAAAGTAAGTATGATTTAAATTTGTATACTCACATGAAGGTTTGCCTTAGGTATTAATTTTGAATGCAAATAAAAAGCAATGTAAATAATAAATCGAATGCACTTTGTAGCTAATCATACAAGGTGGCAAATTCAATAAAGTTGTGAGGGGATTTCAAAAACCGAAAGAGTATCTATTATAATATTTACAGTTAAGATTTATCTTTAAAGTTAGTTTAACAAAAGAAATAGTTAAATCGATGGGCTACATAAATAGAATGCGAAACTGCGTAATTTACACGTCTGTAACCCGCTATTAACGTGTGGCTCCAGTGCATGCCTGAAAATAATGTTTTCGTCTTTATTAAATGAAAATTTGAGCACCGTTCCAAATTTCACTTATGTGGTACCCAATTGCCCTATATTGAGCAACAACCTTCCTCCAACGTGTCATGTTACATGTATAATAATCAAAACAAGTTAACGTATAAACAAGTATCCTCAACTATCAAGACATCTCGATCAAGCTTCTTCGAGTACCTTACGATTTTAAGCTTTGTCCTTGTCTAAACAGTTACAAGACGTTTGTACAATTCCTCTGAGTTAATGGTGAATAAAATTTCTATGACAATAGAAAGCTTATTATCATTTTGACACACAAATTTCAATGTAAAAGCTGTCCTTAAATAGGGAAAAGAACACCTGGTTTGATTTTTAGAAAATCTATCGCTTTGACGATTGCTTCAGAGTATATACACTAATAGCTTAACCAAGTCAACTTGTATCGTAATAGCCCGAGAGCTGGTGACGAATTTTGGGAAGGTCCTTTTGTCAAGTTGAAATTGTGAAAAAATATAATTTTGCCAATTAGCGAGTCCAGTCCCGCGAGTCTGGTATAGCATTTGCGGTTATTTACTTATTGCGCAGTATAAAACATTTGCAAAAAAAATCCAAAAGAATATATTTTTGGCAACTTGATTTTTGTTTAATCTTTTAATTTAGTTTTTATATAATTCAAAGAAATAACCCCAGACGTTTTTGTCGGTTATTAGTTAAATGTGAAAAAATATAAGTGACGAAATTATATTTTTTCACAATTTTAACTTGCCAAAGGACCTTCCCAAAATTCGTCGCCAGCTCTCGGAATATAACTACAATTGTTATCGATTAATAGAAAGTTATTAAGAATTGAATATATCAATATATGTTGTTATTAATAGAAAATATTGTTATTTTACTCAAAACAAAAAAATGTCTTTTCTTATGGCATATGAAGAAATATTGAAATATTTCGATAAAACATTTCCCATATGTAGAAAAGGAAATTAAATTATATGTACATGCTTCAATGTGTTGGTCGACACCATAAAGAAACAATACAGAGAACTTAACACGAAAAATACCTTTTTTTTCTTGCCTCCAACAATAACATACTATTTTGAGCAAATATAATGATTCTTTACTGCAAAATATGTTAGTTAGCTTTATCGATAAAGGTATTGATACTGTGAATCGAAACAAAAATAACACTAGCTTTTAAATGTGTATTTGTACTTTAGCTGATATTATTTAGGAAGCAACTAATTTTAGACATTTCTAGATGACGATCAATTTTAATTATTAAACGTTTCTGAGACCCCCTACGTATTAAATTGCCACCCTTTATAATGCTGCTAATAACACTATATTGCTATTTGTATATAGTTAAATCAACTACTCAATCAGATATGTCTAATAAGATTTTGTACACAAATATATTTATAACACGATTATTTATCATTACAATTATTAAAATCATTAAAATATGTACAGTATAGAAAAATCTCAATTTAGAAACGCATACAAAATATAATTATTAGTCTTTCAAACCGATAAGAAACAAAGTTTAATATACAGGCACGACCCTTGTTAACTCAGAAAAATAACTAGAGCCGCAGTCCCAGTTCGTCTTATGAAGTCATTTTGTAATATTAATTAATAAGAAACTAGTAATTCTCTTTGTAAATTACTAAACTATAAAGCAACTTAGTAGCACATAACTAGTGCTATTAAAAAAACCACTCTCACAAAAAATATCGATGATAAAATACCATACTGACAAGCTTACAAAATGCAAATGTTTTTCTTTATAAGATATTATGATTAAAAAATTGAATATATATGCACATACCTCGTCGGACTAACGCGGCGTTGTCGGGCGAATATCTGTAAGAAATAAACACTTGTAAGAATAAGGAATACCGTATTTTAACGAAAAAAAAAGTATTATAAAATTGTCTTGTTAAAGGAGGAATAAAAAGTGTTTTTTTTTTGTTGGATACTCTAGAATTGTGCTATTTTACACGAACGTAATATGGTCTCCTATTCATACAGGGAAGGAAGGTGATACATTTTTTCATTTCGGAATATAAGAAAAGCTAAATTCAAATTGACAATATAAAATAAATATTCTATTTCCTTACACACAGGCTGGCAACGTAACAATTCTCCCAAAGAATGTCCATACATATACGAGTACGTCTCGGAAAAAGGGTCAGAAAATGAATAAGTGCACCAGAAAGGTTTTGCGAGTATTTATTAAAGTAATGTATGCTCAAAAACATTTGGTTTTTGCACAAAAGCTATCGCAGTTAGCCTTTTTTGTGAAAAAAAAATGTATTAAAAGTTCAACTAGTATGAGGAATTTTTTCTAAGAAAGTATTGATATTCAAATAAAATTTTATACCTATGTAGATGCACAATTATATGCTTTAGAAATGCTTAGCGATATTGATATTGGTTTCTCACAGTGCTATATATTTTAAGTACAGTAATTTTCAAGTACAGCAATGATACCCAGACACGTGACTCCTCGTTGGCATTCCATTTCAACACTTCAGACATTAATAAAATGTAAGTAAGCGACAACCATACATATTGCAGGTATATATATAGCAGAGAAGCATTATTTGGTATAATTATAGTAATTACGGTTTTAATGTTTATGTACTCAATACAATAATATTTTACGATTATTTCCCACCACATTGTAAATAACATTGACGCATTAATTGTACGTAATATATTAAAAGTCACATCTGCATGAACTTTTATGAGAAAATCACAAGTTTAATTTAAGACATAGTAGATTTTACCTATCGATTATTTTACATATAAGAGCGCGGAGAGATTGTGCGAAGCAAAGCAAGTAAATATCTGCTGGCATTATCAATCTAATGGAAACACCAGAGTTACAGTTAAAGAGTTCTAATTAATTATACACTATAGTTGAGTTGATTCCATTTCTTTTTGTGGCCGCCAAGAATGTCAAGCAACCGATCCTGGCAATTATATTTTTAACAAAAAAATCCAATTTAGTAGTACTCATACATAACGATTCTTCATTAATAATTTTCTTAATTGATTCAGAAATATCTAAGGTTTTATTATTGAAAGGTTAAAAGTTGAACCCGCCTGTCCTTTAGCATTAGAACCCTTCGGCATCCTTAAAAGAAGTATTTGATGAACCGATCAACATTTAAAAAAAAAACAATTATGCTATCCACGTAGAAATTCTATAAATAATCTTTATGCAAAGGATAGAACTATAAAATTGATCATTAACACATTGAATATAAGCCTCGGCCGTTATACATTCTTAAATGTCTTTGAGTGAAGACATTTTCGAGCGTTACATTTGTTTTTCAAATGGGCCGAGCATCAAAAATGCAGGTGTTTGAAAGGTTTTTTTGATCGGAGAACATGTAGATGTCACTGTAAGTTTAATTGGTACCGGAACGCATTGGCTAATTGTGGCGTTGGCCAGTTTTACACTAACGCCTCGCATTCACCTGTCAGTAGATAAGGACATACCGCCAGTGAGCCAAATTACTTCCCGACGGTCACGACCGAGGTGGTGTTTCGATGTAAAACGGGACCCGAGAGGAATTTATTTAAACGTTGCACAAACCAGGGCCTTTTGTATTTGATTAAATAAAAGTCAATTTTGTAATTACTCATACTACACAGATTATAATTATTATTATTTGTTTCGTTGATAGTTTTTTATAGTTTATATTCAATTATAACTACATGTTTTATGAGAAAATTATAACAGATTAGATATCAATGAAAACGTCTTCTTAGAAAAAATAATAACAGTATATAAGCAACAAAATTCTTATCAAGCACTTTATAAGTAGCAATTTAAAATGAATGAGTTATTGTTGATGCTCGAGTAATAATCGATCCATACTAAGAGAGCGTAATGAGAAAATTATGTTGTACAAATAAAATATGACTTTTTTATATTAGAAACTGGACTTTATCGCGATCGTTGCTTTCCTGCAAAGATCAATTAAATGTACTGTTTCTCTCATATAAAATCATCGAGCCATTGGACAACGAGTCAAAGCTCAACGGGATGGTTCATTTATCAAACATTGGTCCAAATATGGCTTGCGACGCGCCTGCGCGCGGACACGCGGATCTGCGTCAATTGATTGACTTGTAACTATTGTTTTTATTGTATTTACTAATAAACTTTGTTCCCGCCAATAATAGTACCGTTAAAATGTGACGTGAAACGCCACTTTATTCTCCCTTAGTCCATCAAATGCAAAACGCATTCATCATCACAGCAAATATCCTTAATTCTTGCTTAACGTACCTCTCAGAAATATCTTTTCCGCCTTTCAGTTTTATTTGAGCATTATTGAAAAAATATTATAAATGCCAAATCGAAGCACAATATTATATTCCTTAATCATATTTCTGTAAAATGAGGCGTTTAATGTAACATGTGACACGTATCCGAGTTCATACGAAATTCAAACACCGGTCGGCGCACGCTTAATTACCTCTCGGACGTACTCACTCCGTTGACAGTGACATGCGCATGAGTGGCCTTTGTTTTCTGATGAACCTCCACCACATGAATAAACTTGGCCCAATGTACGCCAACTTAGAAGAATCAGCTTTGTTTTATGTGAAATAAAGCTAGATCCACATGATAATATCTATGCGGAAAAGGTAGAACGAGAAAACGTATGGATAATTTTACTATGCCAGCACAATACGAGGTTGTACTGTGACAATCATTTTTAAGCTATATATAATGTTATTTTTAATGTGCTTCGTTTATAAAATAAACATAGCTTATAACTTTTATTTAAATTATCCAGCCATCATAATACAGATTATTTTATATAAAACTAGCAACTCACCCTCGCTTCGCTTGGGTTCGTCCCTACGTTGATTCCTCATACAAACTGTCATCCCCATTTTCACCCCCTCAAAGAATGATTTCCGGGATAAAAAGTATCCTATGTCCTTCCCAGGGTCTCAAACTATCTTCTTACCAAAATTCATCTAAATCGGTTCAGTAGATCCAAAAATTACCAACTACAGCGTCACAAACTCACAAACTTTACCTCTTTATTGTGATGATGTTCTCCTAGCTGATTCCGGCCACGGCGGCCAATCTCATTGAGACTAGCCAACTGCGCAGGAGATATTATAGTTCACAAGTGTACGCGCAGACACAAGTACACTCTCTATTCCTGTCACTCTCATACTCCGGTGGGACGACCACTCGACACGACCGGTGAGAGTTAAGGCGCAGGACCGACGGCTTTACGTGCTCTCCGAGGCACGGGGGTGAAACACCGCCAACTTCCCAACTCCGGGCTGTTACTGTTAGTAAGTCTCAGTAACAGCCCGGAGTTGGGAAGTTGGCGGTGAACAAGAAATCATCAAAAGCATATGACCATATTATATCTTGAATTATTTTAAATCTTCGACGGAATAAAGAAATATGTGAGAATATAAGATTTAAAAAAAAAACTAGGTCGCTCTTATGTAAGTACGCCGCATCGTCATGTGAACCAAGCCTTGTTCAACAGATTTAACTCAGTTGGAGCTTGGAACCAACGTGTAAAGCAAGCGTTATATTTCCTAACGCCAATGCTAACACATTATTAGCCCGTGTTGCTGTCAACAAGAGACACCCGGCGACACTGTTCAAATAACATATGCACATACATCAGTTAGGAGACAATACCTCGTCGGACGTTTGTCAGTTTATTAACCACGACGTTATTAGACCGATCGCGTTCACTTAATACCCTTTTTGCTGATCAATACCTTGGATGGCTTTTTTAATGGAGAAATATTGAATAATAATTCGACAACACGTTTGGCTCAGTTCGTAGTGACCCTACTTACTGTGCCAGCGGTCGCGGGTTCGAGTCCCGCTGGGGGCATTCATTTGTGTAATGAGCACGAATGTTTGTACTCCAGTCATGTGTGTTTATATTTATATTTATAATATGTATGTACTTAAAGTTATATATATGTGTAGTGCATCAACCATCTGGTATCCATAACACAAGCTTTGTGCTTACCATGGAATTAGATGGCGCTGTGTGTTAACGTCCCAACATAAAATATATAGCATATATAGCAAAAAAATCTGAAGCTACTACGTTTCGCTTTCCATCTATTACAACTTTGGCTATCTCTTTATTGTCCCTTATAATTTACCGTCTCTTGTCCAAGAGGATTACACAAATCCTATAAATTACGCACCTAAGACGCGAAACCGAATATTGTTGGCGTCGACAAAGCAGGAAGAGGTTTAAAAACATCCCCGTAATCCAATACGAAATTAGTTAAGGTTTGCGTTTTCCGTTAATTTGCTACTTGTATTTATTGTTACAGGGATATCGTTGGAGGTAAATCACTGGTGACCACGTCGGGCTTACATGCCTGCCATTCCAATTTTGGTACCAAATAAAAGGAATAATCGTGGTGTTATATGGCTAATATGGTGTATGCATCGTATTTCAACCCTTACTGAGCAATCACGATTTACTTGTTGCGTCCAACACAATAATAGGCGCGCATTTCTAATCCTACTTTATGGGTACGAATGAAAGATTAAGTGATCATAAATACAACTTGCTGAATGCGATTACGGTTTGTTGATCAACAAAATATCAACTAAAATGTCTATTCAGTTAGATTTAAAAAAGTAATAGCAAAAAGAATGAATAGAAAAATGTAAATATTAAGTATCGAGAATGAGAAATATTCAATAGTAATTACACTACAATAAGTATTTAAATTGTCGGCAACATTTTCGAAATAAACAATGCGAGTTTTTCATCGACGATTTATTAACAATTACATAAAAACTGTAATTACGGCGTAATTAAATTAAATAA